GATTTACTGAACACATTTTGCTAGTGCTCAAGTGTATCATCCCACAACTATTTCTTTGCAGAACACACATCAGTGTAATGTAAGTGTGTGGGCATATGCAATTTGATAAGCAGTTAGAATAGATTTTAAGTACTGTTTCTGTTATGTTCTTATTAAACATGTAAAAGTCCAAAATAACCACTCTCTATATATGAACACATATCACTGTTCTTCTTTGGTGTAAATGAGAATGACTTACATTCACTATACACTCAAGCAATACAACAGTATTCCCAGTCTTGCATTAATTGTATAAAATCTTATGCAGGAATTCATAATGAGCTTAAAAATAGCACATTCAGTGTTCCATTTAAAACACCATCTTTTTGTAAATTTTTGATCACAAAGTAAAATACTCTCACACTTCGCCCTTTGTCTAGTTCCATATATGGTATTAATTCAGAATCTTAATCACACCTCAGCTCTATTAATCTACACTATCAGAATCTGTAGAAATGAAAATATGTACCGAGCAGTACTGAATCGATTACACAGTCAGGTCTCTTGAAAATGTACAGAATATGTCCATAATTTAAACCTTCAAAATATATCATCGTTTATTAACTACAGATCCCTCGGTAGAAAAATCAGAATTTCAACTCCTGTGATATAAGGGTAGAATACCAGTTCTAACAAAAATTTACTTAGGGAAATTTGGGGAAAATCACATAAATCCAGTTCTACAATTAAGAGTGAACAGAAGGGGATATCCAATTCAAATTTCCCAAATGGGTAGAGCTGTAGCATAAATAATTAAGGTCGCAGAGACGTTACCTTTCATATTGGCTTCAAATATTCATGATAACCGATAGAGAATGCACTCAAAAAGACCCTAACCTTATTCTTTGAACGCTGCCGTCCACTGTCCAAAAGCACAATTTCCGATCTCGAGCTCAGATATAGTGTCAATATTTAGGTCTCCTACCATAAATTCTGAATTAAGACTATATAATTCAATATCACTTAAACTGTCGATAATAATTCTTTATACTACACCACGCACTGAACACAAGTCGTAGATTACTCCTCATACAGTACGGACATTTTCTTTCGTATGATGAGGCACCTCTACTCTATTAATTAACTTGCAAAGTCATGGGCCTCTAATACCATCTTATATTTTTATTTTGTCCACGGAACGTATAAAGTAAACATACGACTGATCAGATGTCATAAAACATCAATTTTAATCTTGTTTTATATTATAAACTTCAGTTTTATATTTAAGTGACCATTGTATTTTTACACAAAAGAATTAACTATTTTTTTCATCGTATCTAATTTTACCACAGTTCAGTAGTATATGTCTGTTGATTTGTATTCACCTGATGATGGCCGTTAAGGGCCGAAACATGTATTAAGGCATAGCTGGGTATTGACCGTACTGACCTTGATACTCCTCAGTTGTTGCGTTGTGACTGAAAAATAATGTTATATAGTTATACCACTAACAACATTCAAACTTCTACCCATGATGCTTAGGTACACTGGGTTTTGAATTAGAACATGCTACCAACTACGGATTGTCACCAATATACGTGTATGAAAATTCCCAGCTCCGTGGAACCAATGTATGCTCAACGATAATGTCGGCATGAACACTACTGGAGCTATAGACGCTTTCTCCGGGATTCACGAATTCAGTACCATTGGGCGCGTCCAGATATTTTTAGACGAAATGGAAAGCTTTTTCTATTGCTATTAAGAAAGACATGCATTCAGGCAACATGTACATTTCATTGCAGGAAGTGTAAAATGATTACTACTTAACACATGGTATTTCTGTCTAAAATAATGGAAATATTTTAAAATACTTTCTTCAGAAATACTTAAAAAATATGCTTTTTGTCCTGTAAAATGAATATTTCATATTTTTGTTACTGTGAACGAAATCAATATATTTACTTCTTGATGCAAATGTAAACCTGGAGATACAAATGAGAGTTGATTCTCGAGCGTTCTATGGAGATTAATAGCAGAAATACTTAGTAATGTTCATGATGTGTATTTGTACCAACCGTCCTACAGTGCACACAATTTCACCTTTCTCTTCACTACATGTTTCGGCACTACTGTGCCATCTTCACGTGTGGTTTTGTTTACGTCAAACTATTGCACTGTATGCCATTATGTCTCCTTTATAAAAAGATTAAAATGTAAATATGTCATGCATAATAATAAAATTTATATATTAAAACTTTTCAAGATTTATCATCTATACGTCGCACTTCAAATTTGCGAGTTACGTCAATCCTCTCCTATGGGAGTACTTTTCCTATACTCTTGTGTATATCTGAAACGTGAAAATGTTACTCATTAATACCACGTTCCGACTTCTAACCGTTACGTGTGGTTTTACAATGTTTAATACTCACTGTGTCCTGTGTTGTATCCTTCCCTTGTGACTGCGTGCGTTGTATTGCTGGATGTGTGTGTGTGCTGTCTTCATATTGATTGAGTTATGATGTTGTGGGGGTAGGTGGTGCAGTGTTATGTTGTTCTGTGTAAATAGTGCATAATTCGTGAAATATTGGGTTATTTATATATATTTATTTACATTGTTCATATGCGTGTTTTTCTTTGTTGTTCTGTATATATTGTCGCGTATCGGGCGTATATCGCGACAAATAAGTTCACGGCGTATTTTATATAGCGAACTTTATTTCACATCCGCTCTCACAATCACTCAAATTACAATCTGACGATTACTGCTATCTGCAGTATCACAATTAGTACACTCCAAATGCCAGAATACAACTGACTGGCTGACTCTACGTCTCGACTCGGCGGCTGTCACAGTACAACTCAGTACAACAACTGTGAATAGCCTTCGCTGCTCCGTATGTAGCCTCGATCGGACAATACGGGAAAACGGCCACGTAATAGGCACCCTTGTTGCTATGTCGCTGTGTTGCTATGTAACGCTAGCGGAGGTAACCGCTGTTACTACTTGGTGACGTCACCGCTGTTGACTTGCGTTGCCTAGCGACCAGGATGCTAGGACTCGGCTAACATCGGCTCGCTTCGGCTTCGCTCGGCGCATCACGGCTGGCGGGGGGG